GTTTTCTTCCTAATGCTGGTTCATACAAACATGGTAGAGGACAGACAGACAGACAGACGCCTTCTACGTGAAAAGGCAAAACCTTTTCTTGTGAAATCCTGGTGCTTTGCTGTTTATTGGCAACCAAAAGCACGAGCCCAGCCCCAGCCAAAGACAAGTTTCAAATAAACAAAGACTAAATATTGGAAGTCATCGGTGTCCGTGGTTCTCGCTTAGAACAAAAGGAAGGAAGTTGGATATAAACAGTCAGAGGAACAGCGGCGCACGGCAAGGCTCGGAAATGGAAAACCACTCTGTAAGAGCGATGCACAAGTACGCTGGTGTAAGCTCTCCCCAAAAGGAAGAGGAGACTTTGGTGGAACCTCACAGCCCCTTCGAGGGTCTTGCACCTCAAGAGCGATTTATTGATTTTAATGTTTGACCGTCTTAGTCCTGATGAAAAGCGTCTCTTTCTCTGGAGGTAACAACTCTGGGCTTTCCTGGGTTCACACATCTAACAGGAGCAAGTAGCCCATACCCCTTGATAACCTTCTGGGCACCTTGCAAAGGCCATCTGCTTGAGAGGCTTCCCAGAAAGCTACAGCTTCTCCCCGGCCGTGAGGAAGAGCTGGGAAGGAGCTCCTGCAGGTGTCAGCTGGCCAGACACCGGCTCGAGCAATCACCTCCACTCCGCTAGAGCCGGCCGTGTCATTGGCAAAGCCTTGGCATGGAAGACTTTTTCTTTTATTTTTTTTAAGTCTCAGTAAATAACTCTCATAAAACAGACAGTACAGCGGCAGTCCAACTAAAACATAGCTTCAGGTGCTCACATTTTACGGTTTGAGGTGGGGCTGGCAAGGGCTGCCCCTCCCCACCTGCTCTTTCGGTTAGGCAGCACCCAGAGAGATATAAAACGAAAAGCAGCTCCTGAACACACAAAATCCCTTCCCACAACAGCATCAAAGGAGGACAGATCTCTAAATCACAACAAGCAAATAGGAAAGAAAATCAACACCTCAGGGCATGGAGGTGGGAGAAGAGACTTCAGAAGGGAGGGTGAGAGCAGAACCAACTCTGCCAAGGATGACTTCATTACAGCAGCTCTCCTCCCTCCGCTGAGCAGCCCGGTGTGGCAAAGACACACACTTGAATGTGGAGTTTCAGCTAAGACAAACCTACTCAAGCTAGGAGACACCCATGCTTAAAAAGGTCGTAAGCAGAGAGAAGCCCCATGGTTTTCAAGGAGCCTGTAATTCTCAGACTAAGGAATAAAACTGGTCCCATTTTCATTACTCTCCTGAGTACCGTTAGTCTCCCCTTGGGAGAAGTATGAATGAATATCTACAGCTTTTAGGAGTCAGAAGTGCAGCCTGAGCAATCACTGTTGCAGCAGCAGCATAAAGAACCTTTTAGCCATGTAAGCTGTGAGTTTGCATCAGTGACGCTCGGACACAGCTTGCAGGGGCTATTTAAAACACAGGCACTTACACACTCAGTGGGTCCCTCCAGCCCTCAGCAGCCGTCACGCAGCCCTGGTATGATCACAGCCATATAGATTTCTAACAAACTAGTCAAAACTCCCATTTGAGGGCTTCAGGCCCTGGCTTCATGGGCCAGGAAAGGATCGTCTTCCCTTGGGACATTGCTCTTGCACTCCTGAAGCTCCCTCCACCTTCCTCTGGTGCACTGACTGACCACAGCCAAGTGCAAGCCACTAACCTGTACGATCACGTTCTCAGAGGTAGGAAAGCAGCTTTTCCTAGAACTGTAGTTTCCAACCTGTGTATTCGTCTATGACTTCCAATAGCAACGCGCAAGATAAGTAAGAGGGGCAAGCTCTTGTACTGGCTGCAAGTTTGTTATACAAGGGTTGGTGACGCCACTCCAGCTTTTCAGAAAGGGGAAGAAAAAAAACCACAACTACCAAATCACGCATGTTTCAAGCTGCTTTCTCCATGGTGGGTAGTGAACACTCAGGCATGAGAGCTCAGGAGTCAGCTGCCAGAGCGCAGCCCAGTTCAGCCAGGTCTCTTGCACACAAGCCTGTTACTGCAAGAGTTTGAAAACTGCTGCTCCAGGTGCCTCATGGCCATCCCTGCTCAGCACGCTTCAGCAGAGGTAGTTTGAGGAAGTTTTCTCCTTATCCCTCTATGTAGCATCATCAAGCCCTGCTGATCGGCATTTTCCCATTGCTCCAGAGTTGCTGGACGTTGTCGTTCCTTGCCTTCTGCAGCAGGGCAGCAGCTAGACGAACAGCGTCTTAGCTCTGGTCATCAAGTGTGCAAAGAAATCCAGAGGTTTGGAATGACCATGGATACTGCAGAGCAAGAAGGAAGAGGGCAGATGGAAGGGGAAAAGACGGGGTGCCAGGACATGCGATATGAAGGAGATACTTGCATTTAAACAATGTTCAGTAGCTTCTGCAGTTAAATGACTCATCCTCAAGAGCTCCAGCAGTGTGTCAGGTGCTTAACTGGTTAGGCCTGGTTACATTAATGCAGCTCGAGACTCTCCTGCTTTGTGCTTACCACTGGTTAGACAGGACGGAGGAAGGGGATGCACAGGACTGGCTGGTACCTCTGGCACTAGGCTGCATTTCTGTGTACTGGCACACATCTCAACGAGATATTTATTCTCACTTGGCTTCAGACTTGCTCACTGCACACATATTAAGGATACTCATTAATGTTAGTTATTCTAGAAGCCCAGACACACCTCCCACCGCTATTCACAGGAGCGGAGAATTGCAGTGATCCTTCCGGTACCCAAAGTTTGTCACCAATCTATAATCTGAGAGAAACTGCAGCAGCTGGTGCTCACCTTGCTGCAGTTCTACTGTTGCACCTTCACCCTCGTGTTGTTCAGTAGGACTTTAACATAGGCATTTATACCATACAAGATTTTAAACCAGGATGGAATTGTACAAGACATTCTAGACAGCAGAATCACCTTATGGAACTGCAAAGCGACGTAATGGCTTGTATTCCCACAAGTACATCCTTGGCCTTTAAAGGAAACCTCTGAAAACTCTGTTCCTCAAGGCAAGGAAATAAACACCTTGAACAGTTGAGGTGAAATGTGTCATCCTCTGCAGAGTACATTACCATCCCAAAAGAGAAGACTGGGAGCTGTTACCATCTTCCATAGGATGAGGATGGAGTGAAGCCATCTGTTACAAGCTTGCAGGAATCTAGACAGCAGCCCAATGCAAAAGTAATTTAACAGAGATGTTTCTATCTTACTATTTTCATGCCTTTCAATATTTTATTGCTTTAAAAAGAGCAATTCCACCATCTCCTCAACTTCCCATGCTACAGTCTCAGCAGTCCCCTGGTTTCTCCCCCAATAAGCATTCCTGGATACGCAGATGCTTTTTTTTTTTTAAAGCTAAAATGACTGCCAGGACAAAGTGTTTAACATGTTTTAAAACTATTTAAAAGCAGGAAACCAACTCTTATTTCTTCCTTAAGTCTCCATAACTGCAAAGTCTGGATCAGGAGTGACACAAGGTATGTAAAAAAACTGAAAAAGCAACACTGAATTCTAAGTAACTTACACTTTTGTTGATCAGGCAACCATCTCTCTTATCACCCCTTATGCACTAGAAAAAGCAGGCACCAGGTAGAAATTTAACTTAAAACAATGGGAAACAGAAAAACTACTGAATCTAAAAAATCATGACCTAAGAATTAAAGACCATTTAAATAATCTGGAGTGACAACCGCAAAGAACAAAAAAGGCCAGGGTAGCAGCTGTTTCTCTACCCAACTGAAACCAGTCAAGTTACTTATCCCACCACGCTCAAAACAATGAGCAAACCACTTCATTGCTGTTGAGCTCCTTTTTAGGAGACTGGCCTCTAGAGATGAAGGTTTTATGAAAGACCCAGGTGCTAATACTAGAAGGTAATTTTTGAAGAAGTTTAAGATGCAGGAATAGGTTTGAAGAAAATAATAAAGAACAGCTGAATTACCAACTATTTCAGAACATCTACAACAAAAGAATCTCCAATCAAAATCAGTTTAATGCCTCATTTCCCCCCCGCCAGGAGTATGAGATTTTAAAAAAAAAAATCCATGATGTGAAAAAACCTTCATGCCACCTCCACTCTCATGGAATTATTACATACTCACCTAATGGTATCTGTAACCCAAAGCACAACAAAGGATACAGATTCTCCCTCGCCAAGACGAGAAATGCAGACACATCAATGACACCAGGGTTTTTTTAAAGTCTTTTCCATCTTTATAATAATTTTTTGCTACACAGGTAAGAAGATTTATACAATAAAATTTTCAACTGAACTTTTTCAACACTTTTTCACAACAGTGGAGCAAGCAGTAACTGCCATGTGTGCATATCACAGTACATCGCTATCTCGTACAAAGATGGACAATATCAAAATTAAGATCAGACACTGTCCTCTGCTTATCTGCTGTCCAATTTTATTCCACAGCAACGGAAGAGTTTTCTGCACAGGTCTTTGCAAATGAGCTCACAAATCAAACCTCTACAGCTTATGGGTTCTGCATAGATATCCATCCCTGCAAGACGGTAGCAAGACTATTTCAGCACAGTTTCCTCAATAGTTCAACTATTTAACATGTGCTCACTAAGATCTACACAGATATGCACACCGGTACAGATGTCAGTACTATAACAAAGAGCGAAACTACACTCATAGATGTAGATCGCCTCAAGTCTCTGCTACACATTTGAAGATGGACACTGACCAATTGTCTCTGCTTTAATTCCCTTGGAACTGAGTTAGCACACATGAGGGAGGCACATACCACAAGCTGCTAGCAGCCTTTGAGCGCGACCTGGAATACACAAGAGTAATACTGATATTCCTTCACTACTTTCCTTTTTTTTTTCCCCTAAACCAGACTTGCAAGTAGGGTAAGACCTTAATGCAGTAATTTAATAAGCTAACTTTTACAAGCTGACTCCAGATACCAGCATATATACTCCTCCAGCACAACACATACAGACTGGTTCTTCCCACAGCAAGAAAAGGCAGAGGCATTTTCGGCAGAGGTCCATTCCTGTGGCCACACAGCTGGCATGCCGGTTCCTGCCCCATTCTTTCAAAAGGGAACTGTGGTCTGTTTCAAAGAATCTTGTCATCTTTTACCAAAGGCAAAAGCTACCCCTCCCTTCCGAGAACAATGGCTTCAATGACAATTAAGTCCAAAAATTCAGGCTCAGCACACCAGTCACTGCTTTGCCTTTTTCACAATGGTGCCAACAGCCGATATGACTGTAGTTTTGGATCCACTTGCGCTGGTTGTCACTGTGACAACACCTGGCAGTGTTGCAGTAGTGGTAAGGATGGTGGGCTGAGCTATCGTTGTTACAGGGATGGCCGAGTCCCACTTGCTCTTCCTCTTCTGGGCATCTGTGAATTTGATTAGATCAAGCAAATGAGGATTAGTGTTATGTTCAAGGTCACCAATCCCTTTGTAATACTCTGTCTTGTCAACTCTTAATATACCACTGCTTGACTAGACAACTTTCCCTCACATTAATTTCAGCACACACTGGCAGTAAACGTTGAGGAGGAAAGACAACTTTATACTTCAGGAGTCAAAGTAAAACTCTAGACCTGAATTCCAGCCAAATGGGAGACAGGTTCACTCCCTGTCCCAAAGCATATTTCATTTTAATAGAGCACAAGTATCCCAGTTGCTCAGGTACTGGCACAGGACACTCAGCCTCCAGTGGATTTTCTCCCTTCCTCCCAGTTTAAAAGGCAGGCTGTAGCCAGGAGAACGATTTTCAGTCTTTCCAAATCTCTTGAGATGTATCAGTCCCAAGATCAGTCCCACAAACATCAGCAGGTTTCTTAACCCACTAATAAACTTCTTCACTATCAAACCTGTCTCCTAAGCTTTTATTGCAGAAGGACAGCCATGGGATATAGGGACTAGAGAAAAGCTAGTCGGTCAACTCCGGGAAGGAACACTATACACACAATCAGCAAGGAACCTTCTGAGTTTCCAGGAAGTAATAATCCCAGCATTACTGCAGCTTAATAGGTACAATCACAGCCATTCTTTACCTCCCACAGTGGTACTGGCTGTTGTGGTTGTTGTAGAAGCAGCACTTGTGGTGGTACCCTTTTTAGTGCCAGTCACAAACTCAATCTGGGAAGGGAGAGAAACACAGGAGAAAGGGAAGAAGATAATGATGAAATGTTAATATACGTAGTCTTTTTTTAACCCACATTGCTTCTCTATGTTTTTAACAACAGCTTTAATGTCATGTAAGACGTTGGCCTCTGAGCAGGAAGAAAGATGTAGGCCTCAGGCCAAAGTGTACTGAAGTCATGATCATGCAACCCAGCTCTTAAGTCAGGTACAATAAAAATGTGTTTGTTAACTGGTATAAGCGTAGGAATTTGATATAGCTCAGAACGGATAGATCCTAGTCATTAAAGAATGTATTTATACAGTTAGAAGTTCCTGTTCTTTTTCTTTTAAGAAACACGCAAGACAAGTCCCTACCTGCGCAATTTACTGCGACTGCATCATAGCAGGAAACCTAGCAACGAGAGCTACAACAGCATGCAGTCTCATATTTTCAAAACTGCAGATATGAGCAAGGACGTAATCAGATACCTGTGTTACTGTGCAAAACCCAAAACAAACAGCAAGATACAGCATGCACTGCAAGAAAAAAATACCTCCACATACTGAATATGGAAGGAGCCTTCTGCAAGGTTAGATGGCAATCTCTAACATTAGACAGTTTTCTAATGCCAGCCACTAGCTTAAAGGCAACACTACTGAAGGACAGTAATAAAGTCTTCCAAAGCCTGCCTGTGTTGTTGTTCGGGGGTACATAAGAATGTACATTTTGCAAGAAGCTCAGTTAAAGTTAAAACAGGCCCAACATTTCTGGAAATTAGGTGCAAGAAGGCAGTGTCAAGGAGAACAGAAAGAAAGTATTGTCTCAAAATGAGATATGGTGAGGAAATTAAGCGATAACTAGGCTATACCACCAGGTAAAATGTCACAGATTAAGAAAAAAGCTGTTCTTTATGCATTATCTTGCCTGTACCAGTCTTACTGAATACCATTTTAAGAGCTCTGGTTTAAAAATACTGACAAAATCCAAAGAAATCTAGTGGAATATACAACCTAGAGAAATGGACCTCTAAGGAAGGGCAAACAACTTGATCTATGCAGCTTGGAAAAAGACATGCAAAAAGAAAGGACAAATGGGGTGGGGGGGAAATCAGTAGTAGCACAGAGCACCATTCATAAAAAGCAGCAAAGCAGCAAAATGAAATTCAGCAGGGAAACAAAAACCCTGCATCTCCATCTCTTTTGATTTTAAATAGTTACCTTTGTGCGTTCCTTCTTGGCCTTCTCCAATTTGTCCATTTCAATCTTCTGGGCTTTTGCTGAGAAAGATCAGAAGTTACAAGAAGCACTAGGAACAGTAAAAACCCATAGTTCTCTCTCACATACTTCCAATCAAAAACTTCAAACTGTGTATAGAAAATTAAAATGCCATGAAACTAACTACTGCTTTTTAATCAAAGCATTACTGCAGTAAATTAATCATTTAAGAGATGAAAACATTGAAGCAGCAATTTAAATGAAAAGGCTTTCCAGACTGATGAAGCACCAATAACATTCAGGCACATCCAACCAGAATGAACTAGTTAAAGAGCAGCATGTGATGACTTCTCATTTATAAAGGAATTGAAGACTCCAGTGCAGTTAATTAACTACAAAACACAAAGAACTAAGATAGGACAAACCCAAGACTTCCTGGAATTACCTAGTGCCTCATAATATGAATCCTCTGACCAGCCATGAGGATCAAACATGTCCTAAAGAAAAAAATAAGTCAGATTAGGGCTATTTCCACATATACACAAAACCCAGCTCAAAAATGCTTTATGTATTTCTGTTCACTGATGATACTCGGTACTGATTTCTTCTTATATCCCAGTGACCCAAAGATCACATCAGACTTTCTTTTACAGGACCACATTCTGTTGTGAATGAAGAAACAGCTTTGAAGCCAAGAGGATGCTGGGATAAGTCATGCATTTTTCTGCTGCTCAGCTTCTATCTCCCCTGAGGAGTTTCATGTATATCTACAAACTTCAGCAGTTGTTGTTCAGAATCATTATAGCAAAGTTGGAGCCACTGAGATTAAGTACCACATAAAAACGTTCACTTCAACGCAAAGGATCAGACTAAAGTTCCCTTAAAGGGCGTCTAAACAAGCAGGCTCAAGAAAGCCTGAGGTAAGACCTTACATCCCTGTATTACCTTTTACCCACCCCCTTGCCAGTCAAAAGTATTGCACCTCACCTTTGGATAATTTGTACCGAGTTCATCAATTGAACAAAACTGGATCAGCTTTTCATAGATGCTGCAAAGGAAAGACAAGAGTTCAGGACAGAGCCAGTGAGCTAGAAGTAAATGGAAGTGTTTCAGATTTGTTAGAAAAAAGAGGTTGTCACCTCTTCACACTGCAAGAATAAAATCAGAACCTGGGAAGCTATGCTTGCTGTGATGGATGTGACGTGCCATTAACCACATTATTTCCTACTACTCCCAAATTAATCTCCCAGCTCCCAGAACAGACACATCTTCTAAAATACTTCATCCAAAGCCTGTACATTTAAAAATCTAACTGACACACCAATTCTTACTGTTGTCTCACAGAACACAAAGCAGAGTTTTACAGTTTCAGTTACAATCAAATTATGTCTTTCATTTTTGTAAGCAATAGTACTTCTTACTCAGGATCCTGTTTCTGCTACAACTCCAACAAAGAGGAAAATCCTTGGAATTTGCTCTGTGGTGCCTTGGTCACACAGAAAAAGATGGTGGCTTACCTGGGGTTGCGAAACTCCTTTTTCCTCTGAATGATGTAGTTCATATCCATGCCCTCTTTTATTTTCCTCTCATATAGCTTTTGAATTTTATCCTAAGGGAGGAAGATTACAGGGTGAGCCAGTACAAAAAGGAGGAGCACACCAGCTGACTATCAAAAAGTGTACATGTGGGAACAAGCCAACTGATCCAGTGACCTCCTTGCATGGAACAAGGATTCCACCTCTCCCCTAAGGCCAGGCAGGCTGATTAGCACAGACACTCCCTCCTTTAAGGTCAGAAAGTATCTTTGTGAACTGTCTGGGTAGGTAAGGGAATCGATCTTTGCACTTCCTGAAGGCTTCAGTGATTGAAGATTTGCCTTTGAGGCAGTAGTGCACACTCCTCCTTCCCAGTCTGTTGCTTCCCTTTATAGCTATGAGTCTAGAGAAGTAGAAGCCAGCTCCAAGAGGGTGAGGTGAAATCCATAAAGATTTTCCCACAACTTACAGTGGCCATCACAGCCACCTTCAGACTCCAGCGTGCACCTGAAAAACAGCTGCTGGGCTACACTGCACAGAAGGCAAGGCCCATGGCTATGCCTGGGTAACAGATGAGCAGAGCCAAGTCCTGCTGGAGAACTAAACCCAATGTGATCACCAGGTGCTGCTGGTGGTGCCTACTGGCAGCCAAACACTCTTAGGGACAGCGCACTTGTAAATCCCTGCTTTGGCACAAGTGGCCAATTAGATGGAATCGGCTTCTCTTTGCAGATCACTCATAGTTACGAAGTCTATGGATATGTTACTGAAGCCCCAAGCCCCTGCAAAAGCTAACTTAACTGACTCAGGTTGGAAATGTCAAGCAGTCTACTCTCCAAAAAGACTGAAAGATTTAAAAATAAACATGATTTTTTTTCTTCCTCAGCAAGGTAGTGAAACACCTTAGAAGTACTTCTACTCTGGTGATGCTGAAGGGATAGCAAAAGCAGAAACTTTCAGATGGAACTTATACTTAAGTGGTACTACTAGGAGAATATTCTTAGTAATTTCCTTTGTCCTTTCTTTTTGACACAAATTTCTCATGTACAAGAGGCATACGAGATAAGACCAGAGGCTAGGCCTTCAGTCTTGCAGGATGGGAGAGCTGAGTCAATTTTCCTTTGCTGCTTCTGGATAAGTCACTTCATATCCCCCTCCATATGGACAGTCAACACAAATACAGAACTGACTATTCTCTAAGGGTTTGCTGATGCCTGAATAAAAGAGAATTGTTAAGAACTGATATGAAACTCCTATTTCAACAACTTTTAAAAAGCTTTATAAGATAAATTTGCATCAGGTCCTCAGAAAAATTAACAAGAAGAAATTACACAATCTCCACATCCAGTGCACGCATCATAAGGTTTGAAGGAACAACTGCAAAAAGGTGAATTTGGGGAGCAGAAATGATTGAAAAGGTGTTCCCTTTTGTCCCCTCCCCATGGAGGTAGCACTATAGTTCCCAAAGTCCACAGGTGGGGAACTACTCAGTCAACTTTATGATAAGAAATACTCCCTTTGGCAGAGTTCAAGACACAGTTTATTAGAGGAAGAATCTGACAAAAGGGAAGAGCAAATCAACAGCCTAGAACATTTTGCATCTCTAAAGAACAATCCCACCTCCTTGCTCAAAGTGCTTTAAGATGTGGTTTGACCTGCTGACAGAGGACAAATTCTCCTTTGATTTAACATAGTAAACTGCTGTCAAAGGGGAAGAAAATCTGTTTTATTCTGTCTACTCTCTCAAGCTCTGTGCATTCCTCAGATCTAACGCACTCTAATGCATTGATGTCAGAACAGTAAAATCCTCCTACAGCACAAGAGGAGGAATGGGTGTGCCCAGGTACACTGTGCGGAGCAGAAAGAGCGATCTGGATGGCGAGTCACTCTGAATCACCATTGCACAGTAGTAGCTTACTTTACAGAACATTCCAAAAGTGATTCTTTACTTTTATTTCTACTGGGCAGATAACTGCGGTTAAAACTCAAATGGGTGGTAGGAAACAGCAGCCCCTGCCCTTTTATTTGCCCTCCGTCAAGAGGAGGAAAACAGAGCAGGAGGTTATTGCAAAGTTGGTTACTGCAATTATTTGGGTGTGCACCAGAGAAAACATACATTTGTTTTCTTTTGCTGCCTCTAAGTTACTAGCCTTCCCTCTTAATGTTTATCATCTAGAGATACGTAGGTGGAAAAGGAATCCAGTCAATGCTGCCTCAACTATTCCAGTTAGAGGATTCTTAGGCCCGTATAGAAAAACAATGATTTGTTCTTTCCTTCAGAGCTGAATTTGCTGAGGTAAGAAGATAGCAGCCTTCACAGTAAACATCGCTTCTGTGTCATTGGTGGGATCAAGAGCCATTCTAAAGCGTTAAGTGACCCACAGAGACTAGAAAACAGCTTTAAGCTACTTTGAGATTCCTAAACTAGAATTACTGTAAAGTCTAAAGCATTAACACAGTGCATTCATAATCTCTATGTGGTAAAACCCCAGCTTTAATGTTTTAACTTATGCAAAAATACTGAACAGAGTTCCCAAATATCTCTCCTCCCTACTGAATTGCAAGCCTTTTAAAAAAAACACAAATTGGACTTATACCAACCTGCAAGTGGTTAGAACATCTGCCAGGAGGCTCAGGAGGGATTTTGATCTCATCTGGAGACATGTTCCGCACTCTCTCTGAAAAAGAAGCTGTAGAGAGCAAACTGGGCATGAGTTCTGGCAATACTGAAGGGAATTTAAGCCATGCAAGTCATTAAACTTGTTTCATGACCTTGCTAGTGCTACTCTATCATTGAGAACCGATGGGTGAAGTTAACAGGGGAATGCTGTCAACTGGTGCTCGTGGGGTTTTCAAAGTGCTGAGCAAGAAGCAACTAACCTAAGGATTAGATCATTAGAAGAGGGATGAGATGCTTATTTTATTGGTATCCACCTTATACTGTGGCTTTGTGTCATGCCCAGGCTTAAAACTTGATTTTCAGGGGTCTCTTCACCCTGGAATGGGCATATGAAAAGCTAAGCTACTTCCCATTCCAGCTGCAATTGTTGATAAGATCCTCAAAGGCAAAGGATTTTCAGAGGAACAAAGGTCAGTTTGTGGAATGTATCTCTAAACCCCTGCACTATGCACTACACACCGAGCCCTCCACTACTCACTCCAGGTCTTCCGTATGCACTTTAAAGTCCTGCTCTGAACAGCTCAGATAACCTGGAGTCTCTGACAAAACTTGTGCCAGGATACTCTCAGATAGAATCAGACTGTGTATATGGAGGATCACGGGATCAGTCTAAAGCAGCCTGGCTCATTGCCATTTTTGGGGCGGCAGTCACTTTGGGTCCTATTTATTTTAAGACTTATCTACATAGAATCATAGAATACCAGGTTGGAAGGGACCTCAAGAATCATCTGGTCCAACTTTTCTTGGCAAAAATGCAGTCTAGACAAGATGGCCAAGCACTCTGTCCAGCTGAATCTTAAGTGTTCAGTGTTGGGGAATCCACCACTTCCCCAGGGAGATTATTCCAATTGCTGATTGTTTTCATTATGAAAAATTTTCCTTTTATCCAGTCGCAATCTCCCCAGGAGTAACCTGTACCCATTATCCCTTGTCTTTTCCATGTGACTCATTGTAAAAAGGGTGTCTCCATCTTCTTTGTAGCCGCCCTTTAAATGTTGGAACACATAAGGTCTCCCCTAAGGCTTCTTTTCTCAAGGCTGAACAAACCCAGTTCTCTCAGCCTTTCCTCATATAGCAGGCTTCCCAGTCCTTTGATCATCTTCGTGGCCCTTCTCTGGACCTTCTCTAACCTGTCCACATCTTTTTGCATAGTGGGGACCAAAACTGAACACAGTATTCCAGATGTGGCCTGACAAGCATTGAGTGGGATAATGACTCCTTTATCTTTGCTGGCAACGGCCTTGTCAATGCAACCCAGCATCTCGTTGGCTTTCTTGGCCACAGCAGCACACTGTTCACTCCCATTGAGCTGCTTGTCCACCAGGACCCCCAGATGTCTTTCCACAGAGCTGCTCCCCAGCTGGGTAGATCCCAGCCTGTGCTGCGCTTCTGGATTACATTTTCCCAGGTATAAGACCTTACACTTGTCCCTGTTGAACTTCATAAGGTTCTTGTTAGCCCACTCTTACAGCCTATTCAGGAGAGTGAACCAAAAATGGTTCAAGAAGGGAACAATCCTCCCCAAGGCTGTCAGTAGTTAACCACAAGAAATTGTGTTTCATCCTTAAGTTAAGGTTTCCTTAACGGGCACTTTGATCTTTGCTTACTGAGTTGACTATTGCTAGAAAGAACAACTTGTTCCCCAGGGCTGAGAACAAACCAGTACACACTGCCAGATCTCTATAGCTGTTTGTGTTGGGATATACTATTAGAGTACCTCATTGTCCTGTAAAGATTAGTTTACAGAGCTATCAGAAGAAACTGCCATGTTTCCCCCCTATTGCTTGCTACTTTCCCACTATTATGAGAAACCCAGGCAGTTATCTAGGCAAGTCTTGGAGCAGAGATTTGTGCCACATTTAAGTAACTGGGATGGTTTTCAACCATAATTTGTACAGGGAATACATCCCAGAGTTGTAGTTTGTAGTGGGTAAGAGAGACCTGACACCAGCACAGAAGTCCTATCAACCAAGCCATTCAGATTTGCAGCTCCTCAATTATACATTCCTCAGTAAAAGCTGCCTGAACTGCAGTTTCAGCACACTCAAGTTCAGCTCCTTTGACTAAAGCCCAGAAGGGCCCAAAGGATAGACACGGGCATTTGAACACAGCGTGCTCTCCTGCCTTCCAGCACAGAGCGTCGAATAGCTGAGGTTACAAGTAATCAACACTGCACATGTTCAGTGCTACTACAGTTTCTATTTCTTTTGTAAAAATGTAAAGCACTAAGGACACTATCCTTTGGAGATGCAAAGCTAGCAAGCAGCCTCTCATTCTATTTGATCAAGATGTTGCCAAGGGTTAAATTCTTCAGCAGTTGCTAGTAATGAACAAAAAGTGTCCTTTGGCATTTACTAAGAGGGTGCCTGTATGGAGGAAGGAAAGCCTGCCAGAGCCCCTACAGAAAGGCAGGCAAACTGGAGCTCCCTGACAACAAGGCAGACATTTGTTGTAGGTTACAGCTGCTGGTGGGATGGGAAGCCTATACTTCTAATTAGAGTTTCAGGAACCCAGGGAGAGAGTAGCAAATAGACAGTAGTGTACATAATAGATGGCACACTAGGCTTTCCGGAAAAGGTAAAAGCTGATTAATGGCTTAAGAGATTCACAGCATCAGCAGAAACGTTAAAAAAAGAAAAAAAGCCACCAAACCCAGGCTTTACAAGGCAAAGAAAGGACCTTAAAAAAAAAAAAAAAAAAAAAATCAAGCCTAGCTCCAGACTAGACATCCCACAGGCTTCTTATCTTTGCCTATGACCAGAAGAGCCACAGAGAAACAAAACATTTATGGGAAGGGGAACGGTGGGCTCATATAAACTCAGGAACTATGGGCAAGAACTCTGTCTAGCCAGCAAAGAAGTCACAAAGTCCTAAGGGTATGTTCTGCCATCAAGTCAAAGCTCCCTTAAAACAGAAATAACATTGTAGGCAGAACAAGAGCTCCCAATGAGACAATATATTTTGACACATGACTTTTCAGGTTTTGGAGCTCATTTGCTCTTTTGTTTGAGCCATGTGTAAACAATCATTTATCAACATTATACTGATGGGGGAAGGCATCTCTTAATGGCTTACAAAGAACTGGAACTAAGACATCTTTGTCTGCTGCAATCCTGCCATAGCTGTACGCAGCTGAAGACTGAGTCAGCAGTGAGTCTACGTGCACCTCGCAAACTGAGCACAACATTCATCATTAGTCAGTTATTTCATCACACTGCAGCCAGACTGAGATGCCACATCATTAGGAAGAAAAGGATGAGTTTAACCCCTTCAGGCTTATTTACAGTAAGGAAGTACAAATTATCCATGCCCTCAAGCAGTCCTCAAACTTCCTCCCCAAACAGATAGCAGAACAGCCGATTCCACAGTCCCTTCCTACCAGCTCTTT